AATAAATAATCTATTAAATAAAACCACGTTTCTTTGTCAAAATTGAAGTTGTTTCTATGGATTGTAATCTATATGACCTTTGAGTGGCAGTCTTTTAGTTTACGAGACATTGATGAATGGAATCTAAAAAACAAAATTTATCTCAATAAGTATTATCTATAAGCAAATATTTATCTACATCTCTTTTAACAATACTAAAATAAAAAAAATAAGCCAATGTTTAGCTCATATTTATAACCACTCAAATCGTATTTTATCAACACATTTTGAGAGATACACGAGTATTATCCACTTATTTATTACTTATTTTTAACTATTTATAAGTTAAACCATCAATAAATACTTCACAAACATGATAAACTGAGGAGGAAAAGGAAAATTTTAATACTCTAAAATCAGGAAAAAAAAAGCGTCATAATCTTCAATAATTTTCTTTTTCATTTGATTACTTGAATAATTGTTGAGTCCATATGTCTAATAAAGTCAAGAATAACAAAATCCTCCGTCCCCGTCCTGAATAGTAAACGGGGTGAGAACGGAGACATGGTCCCTACCGGAAAGTTTTCGAACCAGTCTGATTCTATTTATTTTATTATGTCTAAACTAATTGTTATATTTTACAATTTAAATTTTATTTAGTAAAATAATTAATTAATTGAAAGGTACAATTAGTGAGATTTTTTTAAATCCTCCCAGCCTCCCAATAATTCTCAATGGGACGGGGATGATAATGGTCGCCCCACTCGGCTATCATCCTAAGTAGAACCCTCGTGAGTCCCCGCCCCTTCAACTCCGAGACCCCCATGGTTTGAAGGGCTGGCTCCGCCTTTCCTATAATCCCATTCTCGTCCCATTCGAGCCAGGTCCCTATCAAATTTGGGATTCCTTGTCGTGTTGCCATACTTTTATGAAAAGGTATTGTTGAAATAATATAAATGTAATTACGATACAACCGTCCATACAATGACTCCTAACTCGTGAAACTTTTAAGAAGAAGAAGAACAATAACAACAACAACAACAGCAACATTAAAAGAATAGAGAATGTCAAAATAATCAATCATCATTATTTATTATTTTGCAACATAACAATATGGATAAGGATAACTTTTAAAAGATAATAACTTGACTTAATTTCAATAGTTCAGTTGAATAATTATACAACTAAACTCAAAATTCATCTACACAAAGGTAAAAACGCTAGAACATTACCGTACGAACACTACAACAAAAACAGTCTATGGCAACGTTTAAAAAATGTTGCCGTAGGCCTTTTGCAACGTTTACACGTGTGTTGCAAATCAAGGTATTGTCGTAGAGTAGATCACCTACGGCAACGTTTATGGACCGTTGCCGTAGGGGCACCTACGGCAACGTTTGTGCCCTACGGCAACGTTTGCCGTAGGTTATGTTACAATTTTGAAAAAAAAATATCCCACAATTATGTAATTTCCAACAAACCTAATAATAATAACAAAACAAAATACAAAACAAAATGCCTGAAAATTTTACATAATTCTAATAAACAAAAATAGTAAATATGATTCAGTACAATATGCTAACTTCATTAGCCTACTCAAAAAGTTATAAAGCAATCACAATTGACCAAAAAAATATTACAAAATATTGGATCAATATCTGAGTTTGCTTATATAACCAACAAGCTATCCCAAAAATAAATGGCCCCAACTGTCAAAGACTTCTTGAAATTACATTGTTGTGTTCCTCTTCATCCGTTCTCAACACAGAAGCTAATCATAAAATCATACGGACATAGAAATGGACCTGCAGCAACACATTGAAGGACAAAATTATTTACCAAAATGAAGGAAAAAATTTACCCAACAACAAAAATCACAAAAAAAAAGAAGAAGAAGCAAATAAGTTCAATGATTATAAACGAAGTTCATACAGAATTCACTTCACGAAAGCATTAAAATGAAGTATTCACCTACTAGCATCACCCTTCATATACAAGTTCAAGCATCAGAAAGTCTAAAAAGCACAAGATTGGTTAATTAGTACCACAATGGCGTTGCCCCGATCTAGTATTCAAGTCAACTCTCCTCAAAAGGAATGAATCCAATGCCAATGTAGTTCACAACAAAAGAATCCCAACACATCTAACCAATGCCACTACAGTTCACAGCAAAAGAATCCCAACACATCTAACCAGAGTTCACAGCAAAAAAAGTAGTAGAGCAAGAAAGCAGAACAAACAAGACCATGAAAAATGGAGAGTTAGTCTAAGGTCTAATCACAGTCAAGAAGATTTATCCAATAAAATAAAATCTTTCCAAGAAACATACCTTCATCACAAAAGTCTAATACTACTCTTTGGCCACGCAACAGTACTTCCTAGGGCTTCACGAAGAGTTCGAAATTCATCTGTAGGTCTATATAAGGTCAAATGATCCATATACACTTCCTCAACCCAAACCTTCCAACAGTCTCTTCCGAGTGGCAAGTGATGCACCCTTGCACTTGGGTCTGTTGTTGCAATTCGAGCTTCTGCTACAACTTCTTCATTTTCAAACATGTACCAATGCAGCAGTTGACACCTAGCATTTTCCATGCGTGCAACACCCCCTACGACACCACTTCCTTTGGTAGACTACAAATTCATAGTAAATAGAAAATGTAATATTTTTATTAGTATACTCCAATCTAATTTTATATTTAATAAACTTGTAATAATGTTGGATACAAAAACCTGAGGAGTAAAACCATTTGAAGTCCCATCCTCCACATTCTGAAAAATGATACAAAGATTATACATTATTCTACATAATAAGTTATATTATCACATTATAAATAATGGTCAAACGTTCTAACATGTTGACTTAACTTGAAAAGTGGTCTATCGCAACATTTTTTAAAAAAACGTTGCTAAAACTCATTTATATTAACCTATGGCAACATTCACTTACGAAAATGTTGACAAAAGACCATTTTGACAACATTTATCAACAAATGTTGCCTTTTAAATGTTGCTAATGACTATTTTTGTTGTAGTCGAACTAAAGGATCATGTATGGATAAGATATATCATCCTATTGCAATTATTGACTCAATAATATAATTAATTAATCTTAATTATAATTCAAAATCAGAAATTATATTATCTTCCGTTGTCATTCTCTAATAGCCACAAAATTTGCCTGTGAATAGCTGCCCGACACGTGTAAATTTCTTACGTGTTTAATTATTAATTAATTTTAATATATTAATTTGAATTGGCATGCAAAAATATCCGTAATCAAGTGATGTATGATGCAATTTGTCATTAATTAATCCCAACTGAGTAAAATTAAAAGATCTTTTGAATTAATATATATTTTTAACGAGGCCACGCTTCCATAAAAAAACAAGGAGTTGGGAGAAAGTTGCTTAATTATTAATGTTGGAAAATATGTAAGAAAATTTGGAAAAATTAATGAACTCCAAGACACGAAAATCGTTATCTTTTAAGAGATGTTTCTCCCCTATCCAACAAAGTCACGACTGGGGTATGAAAGAAAATCTCTATTAGGGTACAATGGAGACATTTGATTTAAACTGTGACTATTTGATCAAACCAAGAAAATATGAAAAAAAAAAAAAATATCTAACAATTAATTGTCAGTAAGAGGCACTAATCAGGTTCCTAATTATTTTATGACATTTATTAAATAATTATGAATTTTAGCCTACTTTCAACTATTTAATTTAATTAAGTGGGTTAAATTAAAGAAGTCTTAGTTTAAAATTGATGACGCGTAAACGTTATTAGGATATGACAAATGCTATAAAATAAAGTCCATGTTTTTTTTTTTGATATGAATAAAAAATTTATATTAATTTTTATCCTACATTTTATGGATCAACGTTTATCAAAATTTATTAAAAATATGATTTTTAACAAAATCGAACAAGGGCTAGGTTTATAAATTTTTTCTTTGTTGAATAATAGCACATTGGATCATCGGTGCTTAGTTTCACTTTGGGAGTAGTGGAGTCCAATGTCTCGTCTTCCAATAAAATTGAGATACACTTTAATTCATATGATAATTCTACTTATACATTATGGCATCTATAATGGATGACATAATGTACAAGTGAAATTATCCTATTGGAAGGTGTGTCGGTGGGCCAGCACACCCTCCAATAATGTACTGTCATTTGTACATTATGTCATCCATTATGGATGCCATAATGTACAAGTAGCACAACCCTAATTTATACAATAGTGGATCTAGTACGAGCTAACAGATCTTCTGTGATAGTATTATTTTTCTAAAGTGAAAAACGTTATTGGTCGTAAAATTTACTTATAAGTTAATCACTTGTCGATAAACTTTTGAAGCCACCCCAAAGTACTAATTATTATTTGTTCAAACTTTCATTCCATGTGCCCATGTAGCAAAATAGACCAAAAATTTTAAGGTATTAGATACGACTAAACAATATAATGATAATACATGAGCCCATAAAAAAAATTAAGTAGTTTTATTTGTACATCATTGCATACAGATTGATAATATGAAAGAGAGAAAAAAAAGAGAAAGAAAGTGTTAGATATTTATACAATAAATATAATATATGAAAGAAACAACTAATTCAGATGAAGTGTCCAATTGGTGAAAAGTGTGGAATTTGTGTTCGAGTCACAATTGGTTTATTTAATCGTTGTATCCTGGAGATGATTGTCCACAGATGTCACAACAGTTATCGACGGACAATTTCGTTTTAAGATNGTCACAACAGTTATCGACGGACAATTTCGTTTTAAGATATCGTGTTGTCCCGAAACTCGATCAGTCGATAAGTTTTTATTTCTACACTTTACTTTATTGCAACTAATAATATTTTTAACAGAAAGGAGAGGAAGTGAGTTAATATATAGCCAACACCATCATTTTGTACTAGAAGCAGCGTTACTCAAAAAATTATTCTAACAGGAGCTACTACAACAACAAACTCGAGAAATAAAAAAAACTAAAACCTCAATTTTTCTATGTACTAGATTGTCTGAAGAAACATCCCAGAGGGGACCCAAATTTGCCAAATTTTTACATCAAAATCCAAACTTCCACTGTAAACTGAATAAGAAGTTCCAGAACCAGTAGTATCCCCACTATGATTATTGTCTACAGCCGCAGCCAAGCACTTGACTGGACCTTTGTGTCCTTCAAAAACTGCCAAACAAGAATGATTTTTTCCAATTCCTCTCCTCCAAATTCTAACTGTTTTATCAGCTGATCCACTGCACAACAAATCTGAAACAATAGTCAAGCACAAGATGGATTTGTTGTGACCTTTTAGAGCCCCGGCCGCTGCCATATGGCGGCTGTCGCTGTCGGTTTTTTCCCACACAATTATCGATCCACCACTGGCGGCACCGGAGTATAGAATGATGCCATCGGTTGTTAGAGCCAAAGCATTCACTGCTGATTTGTGTTTTTCTAGTGTAGCCACTTGTAAATGCTTCTTGTCTCCTTCGTTTTTCTTCCACACTTTGATCATTCTGTCTGCGGAACCTGTATAAAAATTGTGCACGTGTCAGTCTAGTGTTTGAAGACAGAATCTAGACAAACAAAAGAGCCCTCTCTTTAAAACCTTTAAAGCTTTTAATCGAGGTGGTTCCACAAACCTGTATAAACATGCGCATCATTCGACAATACTATAGCATTGATTGCATCATCGTGTGCATTCCACACTGATTCTAGGCAATCGAAATTCGAGGTTTTCCATACTTTGAATGTTCGATCCCAAGAAGCGGAATACAGTAAAGATCCATCTCTCGATAAAGCCAGTGCTGATATTGCATCCACATGATGGACCCAAGTGGATATCTTGTGTCTACGAACTTGTACATAATTCTTGGCAGAAAATAATCTTACGCAACGATCATTAACCGTTGGTAATGTTGCGATACACTTGTACTTTTGATGGGTTGTGATTTGATCAATTTTCCATACCCGAATTTTGTGATCTTGATGAGCACTAAACAGCTTATCACCCAAGATTAGTATGGACTTAACAGCACTGTATCCTTCCCCAACTGTATCATAGGACGGATTTTTGGGCGAGGAGGACGGATCAGAGCTCCATACGCGGATTTCGCTGTTGGAACAGCCGCTATAGAGGTGTTTTCCAGCTAGGGCGAGGGAAAAAACATAGGAGGGGCCGTTGAGGGTTGCTAGGTGGCGGTGGTAGGCCACGGCGGGGTGTTCAACTTGTTGAGTCGAGGGCGTTAGAGAAGGAACGGATGGTAAACTATATTGGGAGTAGAGGGAAGAATTAAAAGACGAAGAATTTGAACCAAGATTACTAGATCGTGATTGATCAGAATCTCGATCATCGGAGTTGCAAGGCATATTAGGAATTGGAAGAAATCCCATTTTCTCTCAAAGAGAGAAAAATAAAATAATTTAGTAAACTCTTTTAGCCATGATTAATAAAAGGTTAATTTGCTTATAAAGAAACAGGGGGGAGTGTAGGGGAAGTGGTTGGCGCATTTTAGCAAAAAAAAAAGTAGGAGAGTAGAGATATGTCGTCAATGTGGCCAAATGGGACATATGGATACAAACTTGCATTGTCACATTTATCCTTTCTTGGGGACCTTCAAACGATTTCAAGGACCAATTGTGCTTCTGAGTAAACCCATATAATTTAACAAGTAGATATTAAATATACAATATTATATCGTGGATAGAAATATGCATTTGTCATATTTATCCTTAGATTTTTTTCTTGTTGACTTTAAACGGTTTCAAGGATCAATTGTGCTTCTCAGTAAACCCATATAATTTAATGAGTAGATGTTCGATATACAATATTAAATCGTATTAGACAGTACAATATTGGAAACATTTAAAGTAACGTGCAATGTTTGCTTCTCGGCTTGGCATTCATGCGATTGTATGCCAATGTATTTTCCATCAATTGTTCGAATGGCACGAATTGCACCTCGTGAGAGACAAAATTCCCATCCTGTTCTGCGCTGAAAACAAATCAAATTAATGTATATGAATTTGCTAAATAATATTTCGACGACTTGATTATTAATTATTTTGCGGTTGTTGCTATATTTGATCGGAGTGGCACTGCTTGGAAGCTTATGATTTGATGCGGAAGTTGGTATGGTTCCTTTTCATTAGTAAACGAAAATAATATTATAATAAATAACAAGATGAATTATGAGAAAGAGTTAGAAAATAATTTTTCAATCGTGCTACATGTACATTCTTTCTTACATTTTTCTTTACACACTTTTACATAACAATATCTACAATCTTGATTTCAAACTCATCAATCATATCACTGTACGAATTTCCTTCACACGGGATTATATGTCAACCAGATTGTCAAGGATATTATACATATAGCATTATTCATAATTTTATTCTAATTGATAAGGTGATAAGACAGCTAAATTTGGTGTCTTTCTTGCAGCGACATTTGGAATTTTTAAATGTAATTGCTAATGTAGTATACATATGTCGTCCAGGACCATATTCTGTAGTTAAAAGAAATAAAAAATAAATTATTTAAAATTATTGCAAAAATGGATTATTTTTTGGTATTTAAATTCGTCTATCAATGAGATATATGCCTGACAAAAGGCCTAATAGCACAAAACATCCATACGTTTGGCTTGTTGTGTACAAAGCGTTCATACGTTTCAATTTTTTGCATTTTCACCCATATTTTCACGTTTGATTGCAGAAAACGTCATTTTCACTATTTTTTAATGTAAAATGACCAATATACCCTACAATTTAAATAAAAGAATAAAAGAAAAAAAATTGCAATTATACCCCCCAAACTTTTTAAAAAGTGCAAATGAGTCCAAAAGCCTTATTAAAACATTAAAAATGAAAAAGAAATTCTCTATGGCCTCCTCCACTGAATTGAATCAATATCCAGTGTAAAATTTTGTTCAATTCTTATTTAGTAGTAGTAGTAACATAGTTTTGAGTTGATAGCAGATTGTGTATGTATATAATTCAGTGAATGGATATGGCCGGAAGACACCATTCCACCGCCTCCAAATCTCTCCATGTGTGGAGGCACGAAAGCTTTTTGAAGCAATGCCTGTTAAGGATTTAGCTATTTGAAACCTAATGATTTATGGCTATGTGGATGTTGGTCAACTTGGTGCCCCTCATATTGTGTTTGAAACATCACCAGATCGGGATGTGGGGATATGGAATTTGATTACATCGGGGTTATGTAAAGTGGGAGAAATGGAGTCAAAGGAATATTTTGAGAAAATGCCTCCTAAGAATGTGTAGTCGTGGACCATCACGTTAGATGATGATGCTAAATCTGGAAATATGAACGAGGCGAGGCAATTATTTGACCAGATGCCTAAGAAGAATCCGGTTTCTTGGTCTGCTATAATTGGGGGTTATGCAAAGAATGGACAACCTCATGCTAACTTTTAAGTTATTTGAATGTTTTAAAGAGACAGGTATCAAGCTAGATGAAACATTTATTTTGGGTATTATCTCAGCTTGCGCTCAACTGGGGATTGTGGATGTAGCTGAGTCAATTATTCATAACTATGTGGGAACACTGTCTTCAAACACACATGTAGTCACCAGCTTAATAGATATGTACGCAAAATGTGGAAGAATTGAGAAGCCTCGTGAGCATTCAAAATGGCTGATAATAAAAGATTTGCTTTGTTATAGTACCATGATTGCTGTCTTTGGAAATCATAGTTTGGTTCCAGAAGCAATCACTTTCTTATTTATGTGGATGATTGTTGGTAATTTTTTGTTGTAGCATTTAATTGATTACTGGTTATGGGCTTTACGGTGGTATAGAGGATCAGTGGTTGGTCAGAGTGTTTTGGCTTCAAAAGTGGCAGAGGGAGGAGAGAATAGAACATTTTTAAAATATTTTAATAATTTAATGGATCGATTTATATTTTTAAAAAAAATTTAATTGTGATTGCAATTTCTGCTTTATTTATATTTCTTTATTTAAATAGGAGGATATATTAGTCATTTTACATTAAAACTTGGTAAAAATGACGTTTTCCGTAATGAAACGTGAAAATAGGGGTGAAAATGTAAAAAATTGAAACCTAAGAACGTTTTGCACAAAATAAGTCAAACGTAGGAACGTCTTGTGCTATTAAGCCCTTGACAAAATGCCAAGGTTCCGATTCATTTTAATTGGTTACAAGAAAATGCTTTTGGGGCCAGATGTCTTAGAATTTAAGCTTTAAAAGTCACAAACCAACTCCACAATGATGTCAATACTTGAAAATCGGGTGTCTAGTCAATGAAAACAATTGTCCAATATTGATTACAATTATGGTACATGTATATTTTTCTTGAAATTTTGCCAATGTTAGGTACGGATTAAAATTCAAATTTTAATCTAATTCAAAGTCAACAATTAATTTAAATCACGTATTTCTTGAATTCTACAACTTTTTCAACCATACATTTATCAACTTTTATTAAAATATATTAAAAATCTGACTTTAATCCTATCAAACAAGGGTTAAATTTGACATTGTTGTGAAGTGACAGTTTCTTACACATTGATTTTAACAACACTTTAAACAATCAATAATACAAATTTCGACAACACATGAAATGTCAAACTTCATATACATCGAGTGTGTACAAGTAGTTTAATCCTATTAATTTTATCTACACAATTAGGTAAGAGAAGTGCAGTTGATGGATACATGGATACCCAGTTGATAA